TTTGTTTATTTCTATAAAAAATTATTGTTTATTCAAATTACGGTAACTGGATTTTATTTATTGATTTTGGTAAAAAACAACAACATCTGGTTCATTCAGAAAAACAGACCGAGTCTTTTTTTTTTCAGGTGAATGCAATATGCTTCTGTACATAAGGACCCATTTTTCCATCTCTCAGATTTCTTCCGCTGTTTGTTTCCTGCTGTCTCCTGGGGCCTCCTACATCTCTGGAGCCACACTGAAAGTGGATGCAGGACAGAGTCTGTACCATTCCCTGTGGGAGATACCTGGTATGTTGCCATTTATTACCACAGCCTTACTTTAGTCTTTAACTTTCTTACTTTGCCTTAAACGATACGCTGTATTTTATAGTAAGCTGGATATTTGTGTGTGTTTTTTGTGCAGACCACAGCTCATGGCCTGAAGCTCCAGACGGTGAAAATCTGGACGCTCTGAAGGAATTGCTCAAGCCACAAAGCAAACTTTAATAAATTCCTTAACATGCATGACAACAAATGGGCAGATAGCAAAGCTATACGACCTATAGAATGTGATTTATTGTATATTAAAAAAACAACTGTACAAATTTGTATATCATTAGTAGGGAGTTAGAGAGATATAAATCAAAGATTTATAATGTACTTAATGTATTAAATATTAACCTGTTTTTAATTTCAATAGTAACACCGTACTTTTTTGCTAAAACAAAAATAGTGCCTTAAAAACTGGAAACCACTCATACAGATTAAAAGTGTTTTACAATATAGACAGTCTGTTTGTTTTAATCTTCAATTTCTATATTTTTAAGGTCTCAGTAAGTATAGAAAGAGAAAACAGAGACAGAGAAGATTTGCTGTATACGTATGTTTTTAATTTCTAAGTCATAAACATGGTAGTCCTTGTCAGGGTCGCAGACACACAAAGACACACAATCATGCACACGCACACATTCACACCTAAGGACAATTTAGAGAAGCCAATCAACCTAACAGTCATGTTTTTGGGCTGCGGGAGGAAGCCGGAGTACTCGGAGAGAACCCATTCATGCATGGAGAGAACATGCAAACTCCTTGGTGTGGGCCAGGAATCGAACACAGAACCTTCTTGCTGCAAGGCAACAGTGCTAGCCCACTATCGCACTTTGCAACTTTTGATTAAGTCAAAGTAATGGGCCCTTGTAAATCATTGTACAGTTACGTTTGGAGGTGGGACCATCATGGCATGGGGCTGTTTTACAGCATATGGTCCTGGCAAACTTCAAATAATTGAAGGAAGGATGCATAGAAAAATGTACAGAAAAATTCTTGATAAAAGTATGCTGCCATCTACCAGCATGATGAAGATGAAACGTGGGTGGACATTTCAGCAAGACAATGACCGCAGGCACACATTCAAGGAAATTGTCAATTTGGTTCAGAGAAAGAAAATAAAGATGCTAGAATGGCCCAGCCAATCAGTTGATTTGAATCCCAACAGAAATCTATGGAAAGAACTTAATTTCAGAGTTAATAGAAGAGACCCACGAAACCTTCAAGATTGGAAGACTGACTGTGAGCCAAAATCCCACCTGAGCAATGCATGCAACTTATTTCTGAATACAGGAGGGGTATTGAAGCTGTCATTGCCATCAAAGGCTTTTGTAGAAAGTATTAAATCAATATCAGAAATGTGATCAATATTTTTTTCCCTGTGTCATTTCACTTTAATACACATAATTTATGGATATATCTTTTGTTTGATTTCTTTTCTATGTGTGGAATGGCACCTCTAGAAATATATTTACTGAGGAAAAATGGGTGCATGTTCAATAATTTTACATGCCGTATAAGGGTAAATGCTTACTTTTCAATTAGCCACTGTTTAACCCTGCTTTGGGGAAAGATAGAATGGCACTTTCCTCTCAGTAAAATATATCTGAGAGGTGATCAAAATATCTGTGGAGCAAACCTGGAGTGCTTTACCCTATAATAACAGGATGGACAATAACATAGCTTACCGTAAACCTATAAAACCTTGAAATGGTTTTGAATTCAAGGTCTACTTGCACAAAGAGAATAGAATAGAAAAGCCCTTTGATGTCCCACAATGGAGGAATTGTGACGTCACAACAGCAAAATATCTCAGCAAAAGTGGTCACACAAATGTAGACCTTAAAAAGTAGTGACTTTTAATGAGTGTATTGTGGTACTAAAACAAACGTCCTATTTGTGCAATTCAGCACAAACTACAAGGAGATTATTTCTCATTTTATAAAAAGAAGAAATATCTCAAACTACCGTAGGTGACGAATGTTTCATGTTACAGAGGCTGATAGTAACTTCACTGTAGAAAAAAGACAACACACCAATAAATTAACGAATATATTCAAATACTGTCGCGCTTTTGGAAGATGTTTTTTCTTTATTTAATTTGTCCATAACGCGGTGCCGTAAGTTTGCCGTCAAGTGCTGCAGATTGTCGCTAGCCCCCACTTCAGCGGCAGAGGTCACAACAATTCGTCCAGGTACACTGATTTCTCTTTGTAAAACCTAGCATTTGTGTCCAGACTGGTATTGTTATGTCAGGTTTTGTAGCGATATGTTGTATCCATAAGTGAATCCGTGAGCAGAAGCTCGCCTCAGAGCGAATGTTTTCTTTATCTGGTTTAAACTAATGTAGCTTAGCTTGCTAGCTGCGAAAACACCGACTAATACCACATTTAGTAATTTAAAATGTCGAGTTTTAATGATATCAAAAGTAAGACATTTGCTATAAAATGTCTTTTTGTGTTTGTTCTAGTCCTCTTTAAAATTCGCTATGTGTTTGAGATATTATGGAAATATTCCTTAATAGCTACGCTAGTTGACTTGTTTATTGATCCTATATCATTATTTCGTTTTTTCATTTTACGACAATTATTACTGTTGCTGCTTGCTGTCTGTGTTTTTATCTGAACCCTAACAGGTTTCCTGTAGAGCTTTTTTTGTTTTCTAAAATCCAACCAAATCTTATCATTAACCAATGGCTTGTGTTCTTAATGATGTATTCTTCTTTTTGTAGATTCTGCTCCAAACAAAATATATTCCTTCATTTATTTTAGCAATTATTTTTGGACAGTTTAACCTCATTTAACGGTTTAACTTTCAACCAGTCACTCAATCAACTGTATCTTTTAGGCATTTTAAAAACTCAAGTACTGTACATAAGAACAAAAACAGGTTAAAAATACATTTAGATTAAAACTGACGTAAAAATCAGGTTCAAAACAGGATTGGAGTAGTAGTTTCTATAAGAGCTTAAAAAAAAACTTTGTTGTTATTCAGTATGTTTTAGTTTTCATGCATCATTTCATCGGAACATATTTGACCATTTGCTGGGACTCTTCTGTCCATGTGTTTGGTGTCCATTTTAATGACTGCACTACTAAAATAGAAGACAACATGGGATGATTAAAAGGATGAAGGGATTGGTTAAACAGTGGGTTATTTTTTTCTGTGCAATTTTTCTGACAATCAGTTGCATATTGTCCTAATATCACGCTTCCTACCATTCATTGTCTCAGTATAAACTTTGATGTAGGCAACTGTTTCCTGTCTATCGTCATGGTTT